TGGTTAAAGTTTCTTTAGACATCAATAACTTTGTCAAACCTTCATGGAATTTTATGAAATTTGGACAGCTTGTTTACTACCAAAATACAGTATCTAGAGCAAAATTTTTAAAATATTTATTTCCATTGTTCAGTATTTTGCTTGTTAATGGACTTAGTCTTTTTTGGCCAACATTACACTCTTACACTGACAGCAGCAATCACAGGCGAGACACAGGGTTCCGTGGAACAGTTTTCAAATTTTTTGGACTTTGTGTTGACAAATTGATCTAAAAAAAGACTGTTGATAACAAATATGCCATTCTTATAAATGTTTGAAGCAAATAAAACATTCTTTAATTATTTCAACTTAAACTGTCAAAAACATAGTAATGCATTTTTAAATGATGACTTTTATTAAGTCTCCCAAACGAAGTTTGGGAAGACTTATTGGTTTTGCTCAGTTATTATTATTATTATTCTTCTTCTTCTTCTTCCTCTTCCGCCGCTTTTAAATTTGAACTTGTCCGCACCTGTTCTCCAAAACCGCTTGTCAGATTAACTTAGGGTTTCACAATATGTTAGACTAACATGTCTAGTGGTGCAATCAGGGTTTTGTTTGTGCAATAGGGTTCATAAAGGGGTACTTTGAGGGGCAAAAAGAAAGGAGGGTTTTACTATAGAACCCTATGGGATATTATTTTTTTAAATTTTCAAATGATTATAAATTGAAAACCGTTTGTGATAGACACAATCTTTTTAATTGAAAATGTTCTAAATGATAAAGCACATTAATTGAAATACAGGGTTAGTCCCCAGGGGTCACCCCCACCCCCTGCCATTTAAGAAAGTTCTAATACCTTGTAAGTGTTCAAGATCCCCACCCCTAAACCATATATATTCTGGTTTGTCATGCTAAGACGGTTTGAATGATATACAGGGTTAGTCCCCAGGGGTCATCCCGACCCCCTGCCATTTGAAAAAGTTCTAATATCTTGTAAATGGTTGAGATCCCCACCCCTAAACCATATATATTCTGGTTTGTCATGATAAAGCACATCAAATGAAATACAGGATTAGTTACAAGGGGTCATCCCCATCCCTAAACCATATATATTCTGGTTTGTCAAGCTCAGATGGTTTGAATGATATACAGGGTTAGTCCCCAGGAGTCATCCCGACCCCCTGCCATTTGAAAAAGTTCTAATATCTTGTAAATGGTCGAGATCCCCACCCCTAAACCATACATATTCTGGTTTGTCATGATAAAGCACGTCAAATGAAATACAGGGTTAGTCCCTAGGGGTGACCCCCCACCCCCCTGCCATTTCAGAAAGTTCTAATATCTTGTAAGTGGTCAAGATCCCCACCCCTAAACCATATATATTCTGGTTTGTCATGATAAAGCACATCAAATGAAATACAGGGTTAGTCCCCAGGGGTGAACCCCCACCACCTACCATTTAAGAAAGTTCTAATATCTTGTAAGTGGTCAAGATCCCCACCCCTAGACCATATATATTCTGGTTTGTCATGCGAAGATGGTTTGAATGATATGCAGGGTTAGTCCCCAGGGGTCATCCCCACCCCCTGCCATTTGAGAAAGTTCTTGTATCTGGTAAATGGTCGAGATCCCCACCCCTAAACCATATATATTCTGGTTTGTCATGCGAAGATGGTTTGAATGATATACAGGGTTAGTCCCCAGGGGTCATCCCGACCCCCTGCCATTTGAGAAAATTCAAATATCTTGTAAATGGTCGAGATCCCCACCCCTAAACCATATATATTCCTGTTCGTCATGTCTCGAACATTTGAATGACGTATAGGGTCAGTCCCCAGGGGTTCCCCCCACCCCAATGTTCTAGTATCTTTTAAATGGTAGAGATCCCCACCCCTAAACCATATATATTCAGGTTTGTCATGCCAAGATGATTTGAATGATATACAGGGTTAAGTCCCCAGGCATCACTAATGCATATAACTTTACTGGACCAAACCAATTTTCACTGGACTTCCTCTTCCGCCGCTTTTAAATTTGAACTTGTCCGCACCCGTTCTCCAAAACCGCTTGTCAGATTAACTTAGGTGTTCACAATATGTTAGACTAACATGTCTAGTGGTGCAATCAGGGTTTTGTTTGTGCAATAGGGTTCATAAAGGGGTACTTTGAGGGGCAAAAAGAAAGGAGGGTTTTACTATAGAACCCTATTGGATATTATTTTTTTAAATTTTCAAATGATTATAAATTGAAAACCGTTTGTGATAGACACAATCTTTTTGATTGAAAATGTTCTAAATGATAAAGCACATTAAATGAAATACAGGGTTAGTCCCCAGGGGTCACCCCCACCCCCTGCCATTTAAGAAAGTTCCAATATCTTGTAAATGGTCGAGATCCCCACCCCTAAACCATATATATTCCTGTTCGTAATGTCTCGAACATTTGAATGACGTATAGGGTCAGTCCCCAGGGGTTCCCCCCACCCCAATGTTCTAGTATCTTTTAAATGGTAGAGATCCCCACCCCTAAACCATATATATTCAGGTTTGTCATGCCAAGATGATTTGAATGATATACAGGGTTAGTCCCCAGGCATCACTAATGCATATAACTTTACTGGACCAAACCAATTTTCACTGGACTTCCTCTTCCGATGCTTTTAAATTTGAACTTGTCCGCACCCGTTCTCCAAAACCGCTTGTCAGATTAACTTAGGGTTTCACAATATGTTAGACTAACATGTCTAGTGGTGCAATCAGGGTTTTGTTTGTGCAATAGGGTTCATAAAGGGGTACTTTGAGGGGCAAAAAGAAAGGAGGGTTTTACTATAGAACCCTATGGGATATTATTTTTTTAAATTTTCAAATGATTATAAATTGAAAACCGTTTGTGATAGACACAATCTTTTTGATTGAAAATGTTCTAAATGATAAAGCACATTAAATGAAATACAGGGTTAGTCCCCAGGGGTCACCCCCACCCCCTGCCATTTAAGAAAGTTCCAATATCTTGTAAATGGTCGAGATCCCCACCCCTAAACCATATATATTCCTGTTCGTAATGTCTCAAACATTTGAATGACGTATAGGGTCAGTCCCCAGGGGTTCCCCCCACCCCCAATGTTCTAGTATCTTTTAAATGGTAGAGATCCCCACCCCTAAACCATATATATTCAGGTTTGTCATGCCAAGATGATTTGAATGATATACAGGGTTAGTCCCCAGGCATCACTAATGCATATAACTTTACTGGACCAAACCAATTTTCACTGGACTTCCTCTTCCGATGCTTTTAAATTTGAACTTGTCCGCACCCGTTCTCCAAAACCGCTTGTCAGATTAACTTAGGGTTTCACAATATGTTAGACTAACATGTCTAGTGGTGCAATCAGGGTTTTGTTTGTGCAATAGGGTTCATAAAGGGGTACTTTGAGGGGCAAAAAGAAAGGAGGGTTTTACTATAGAACCCTATTGGATATTATTTTTTTAAATTTTCAAATGATTATAAATTGAAAACCGTTTGTGATAGACACAATCTTTTTAATTGAAAATGTTCTAAATGATAAAGCACATTAAATGAAATACAGGGTTAGTCCCCAGGGGTCACCCCCACTTCCTGCCATTTAAGAAAGTTCCAATATCTTGTAAATGGTCGAGATCCCCACCCCTAAACCATATATATTCCTGTTCGTCATGTCTCGAACATTTGAATGACGTATAGGGTCAGTCCCCAGGGGTTCCCCCCACCCCCAATGTTCTAGTATCTTTTAAATGGTAGAGATCCCTACCCCTAAACCATATATATTCAGGTTTGTCATGCCAAGATGATTTGAATGATATACAGGGTTAGTCCCCAGGCATCACTAATGCATATAATTTTACTGGACCAAACCAATTTTCACTGGACTTTGCCCAATGTCAGGCGACCCTGGGAATCACGAATAATGGGAGCTTCGTTTGGGAGACTTCGTAACAGCATCCTGTTACAATCATTTCTTGTTGATTTTGGATTTTGTCTCTTTTTAAAACTACAAAAGATAGAGAAACCTTCAACATCAAAATTGATCAGCTTAGCGAGATCTACAAAAAAGTCAGCATGGTCAAATATATAGTAAGTCGATTCCTTATAGGAGTAAATTGTCATTTCTGTTAATTTTAAATATATAAACTACTTTTTTATAAGAAAGCAGTAAAATTGTTGTTGGTTCAGAAAACCCTATTCAAGCTATTTTGGAATGCTCAGTAGAATAGATTTAACTTGTATAAAAAATAATAAGGTTTCTTGATCTTTTTTTATGTTATGCCAAAAATAGTAGGGTGTCATTATATAAATAACACATAGCTGAGAGGGTGATAGAGCAGATTGTTACCCTGAGAAAACATTGTCAACTGAGGCGAAGCCAAGGTTGACAATGTTTTTTCGAGGGGTAACAATCTGCTCTATCACCCTCTCAGGTATGTGTTATTTAATTTATTATACTGAATGTTCTGTTAATACTGTCTATTAAATTTCAAATTCAAAGTAATAAACTATGTCGTCTCGTACATAACAATCATCTGTATTTATTAAAGCGCACACTTGAGCAAGCGTCTCCGTGAAGGGTAATAGAGTATTTGCCATTGGATAGAGTAAATTGTCTCCCTCGTATTAACCAATCAAAATCTGGCATTTTGACATGAAGTATAATAAAGTAAATTGTCTCCCTCGTATTAACCAATCAAAATCTGGTATTTTGACATGGAGTATATTAATATGGTTTGCAGTCTGCCTGTCTGTTACCCTTGTATCACATTAAAGTTTTGGTTTTAGGTAGTTAACAATGAAGTTGTAGTTAATCAACGGTAAACTAAGTTAGTATAACCCAGATTTCATGGTTCATTGATCATCGAAATGAGATAATGTGATCAGGGCATGTTGTTTAAGCTATAGACATATATTCTTGTTTAATTTCAATTCACAATCATAAAATAAATTGCCTAAATTAAAGGCCCCTAGTATTCTGGGGCCATGGTAAATTTGGCAAGTGATGAAAACTGTGTATGTAGGAGGCCATTGACTGTTTTTACAAACCAGAGTAAAATCATTGTCTGAAATCTTGGTGGACATATCTCAGTTTGTATGTCTGCTGTAAGGCCAGGCATATACAGGGGGCACTGTCATTCAATACGGCTGACTCTAGATATAGTCTGCTGTGATTGATGGAGCACAAAGTTGGGGACAGGGGTTGTAGTGGGATGCATTATGGGAAGGATTTAATACAAGCAGTCAATGGTCTATGATTTCTATCTTTAGTAATCTGATGCCAAATGTGATATTGTGAAAATATTATTTGTGAATTACCAATTTTGGGGAATATTCAAAACCATGAATTTAGAAACCAATGAAGCAGATTTTTTCTGTAAGTATATGAAGTATGCAAGAAAAATCAAGCAAACAATGAAATCAAATATCCACAAAAATTGGTACGAATGGACATACATGAACTATAGTGCTAGTTCCTTGTTTGTTTTCTTAGATGCCCGATGTGACTGGTTCCCAGTTTGGTACATTTTTTTTTTTTTAAATAAACCTAATTTTTAAACATAAGTAACAAAATATGAATTTTCTAGGACTTGCAGGGGCAGATCTCTGACTACCTGTTTTCTGTCAAAATTGATTTTATTGCTCTGTAAGCTCTTCTTTTGTATTTTTCTTTGTAACACTTCTCAAAATCAAGATTAAGACATTTTAGCTTGGCCTTTTTGAAAAAAATTTTAATGACCACAGGGTTTCCAAAACGGTTATTTACATGAAAACATACTGTTGAAAACTACTTTTTAGTAATGCAAAAATGTTATTACAAGACAGGGACTTGGTGACAGAGAGGTCTTTGCAGTTCATCTACAGTAATGTCTAGCCTCTCAACATTGAGGTTATGAGTCAAAACACCTCTTGTGACAAGGTGTGAATGATTCCAATCTTAATTGACTGGGATTGCCAGTTTTCCTGTCAAGGCTGAGTAGTTCCTGTGGGGGAAATGGGCATCCACCACCAATAAAAACTGGCTGTCATGATGTAGCCAAGTGTGCTAAAAATAGGGCTAAACGGCAACAATTAATCATTACAAGACTGCTTTCCTTAACTTGCAAACATTGGTGAAGCCATCTCAATAAATCCTGGATACTTGAAGTTAAGAAAAATCAGAGCATCACAGGGTATATCTAGAACAGTAAGTGAAGTAAAATATCATAAGACTCTTATAAAATTTGAGTAAAACATATTTAGGAATTTAATGCTTCTTTTTGTAAATCTTATTAGGGTGTAAAAGTGTTGACCAAAGGGCATTTTGTAAGACACATCCTACTATATACAAAAAATATGCAGGATGAATGCTTTAACAACCCTAGAAATTACTAAAAAGGGACATCTATTGTTTTCGTATACATTGTTGTAACGTTGTCATGATGTAAGTATTTATAGGTCACTGAAAGATCTTCTAAAATCAGCAAAACCCATACGAGGTAGCAAGCTATAAAAGGCACGACTTAACAAATGTAAAACAATAGACCACTTTTGAGTTCGTTGCATTTCTGTCAAAAACTTTAGCTTAGTGAACATCATTCATGTGTTTAGGGGTACGTCACTTCCTTCCCATGTTGAGCGAGCGGTAGAAAAATATGATGCTATAGTCCTTGAATTATTCGGCAAATTAAATTCTTGTAATTGATAATCAGCACTGCTTTCATTAGGGAATTGTGATTAAGTACCTATGGAACAAACATTATTTCTAGTTTATATGGATAATGACCATCAGGAAGAAGCTTGATGAACTTTAATAGTGGAGGGATTCAGGAGGGCCCCTCTATCTGGTAAACCATGTCATAAAGGTGTGCATAATTGACGAACTTTTCCAGTGAAGGACATGACTAGAAAGTGGTCTATTCAAACAGGAAAAACTAACAGATTAATTTATGTACAAAACAATAAATAAAAAAAAAATGTACCATACAGCAATATATGACCAACACTGGATTACAGGCTCATGACTTTGAACAAACATACACAGAGTGTTCTAGGGTTAAACATGTTTTAAAAGAACAAAACAAGAAGACAAAAACTATAATTAGTATTAAGAGTGTGGTAAAGGGTTATTTTCGTGCAACATGTTTTGCCATTTTTATTTCACGTGCAGCCGTGAGAAAGGTTCATTATTCACCGTGTTTTGTGAAATCGGTGAAAAGATCAACATGCAAGAAATTTTTAATTGTTCGTTCATCATGAAATGGCAATTTTATTTCGTGTTCTTCCATGCAGATACCCCCCTTTACGCCCCTCTATTAAGAGAAAGTTTACAGTCTTACCATCTAGAATATTAATCACCTTATCAAAATATGTTGGACATATTCTGTCGTTTCACCTGTCCACAATTGGCTCACTTGCCCACTCATATCTTGTAAACAATATTGAAAAAATGATTGAACAGAATTTTCCAAGGCATTCTAATGATGAAAGAAAGGGATTGCAAAATGAAATCTCCTTACGAGGAGCATCATGCAACCATTGAGAAAATTTAAGGCAACTCCCTCAAGGGATTGTTGAATGACAAAACCTGTGTTTGGTTTCTATGGTGATTCTTTTGTTATTGCAAATTAACTTTATATGTAAGGTGACTTTTACATGTTAAAGGGATTATTATTAAGCAAACTAAAAAGTTATAATTTATAAGCATTTTTAATATTTACATGATACTTTTTGATTTAAAATTTTAACTAGAACTATCATTGTCCATTTTCTTTTGTAGCTTGCCCAGTCACAGAACCGTGTGTACTTGACTGCAAACAACCTGATGTTAAATATTACCGACAAAGACTTTGATTCTATGCTGGAACAGTATAAAACAAAGAAATAGTCTCTGAACTATGTCGACCTTGTTATTGTCTGAATTGTGCTGGATATTATTATGTGTTTCGTAGGACTTGCCTACGACAGACAAACAACTTTCACAGAGATATAAGAACAAATAAATTCCTCTTTTTTTAAACTTTGTATACTGACTTCACAATGACAGTGAAAATGGCCACCACTGGATTTATATGAAACAATTCTGTTTGGTTATGATTTAAAAAAGAGTTGTAAATTTTTAAGTAGACTTCAAGATTCCAAGGTTTCAATATAAATGAAAAGGAGGGATATTTTGCACATGCAAACTGGTTAGTGATCCATTTGGTTGGACAACATTATGATGAAAATTAAGATACAAATTTTGAAGAAGAAAAAACCAAAACAAAACCAACCAATAAATCTTGTGTTTTTTAAGTGGATATATTTATAGATTTATTAAATCAAAATTGTGGAAAAAAAATGGTTTATCATATTAAACTAGAAAATACACACCAATTTATTTTTATGGAACACCTACAAGTGTAGGAGAGCATTATGTTTTCTGGTCTGTCCATCTGTCTGTTCATCCATCCCATATTTGGCAAAGTTAGTTTACAATGAGGTTGTGGTCATGTCAACTTAAAAGATAGTACACATGTCGATTATGATGTGAAATTTTCCAGTTCAATTTTGAATTACTGTTCAACGCCTATTTAATGATAAACTAAACATAAAAATGTGATTGTACAAGCTGGGCCTGACATTCATACCTTTTAAAGATACGAAAATGTGGTAGATGTGGTATGATTGCCAATGAGACAAATATCCATCAAAGTTCAAATGAAGTGGATGTTGGCAATTACTACAGAAAACTTTACCAAACTCAGGTTTGTAGAATGTGATTAAAATTTTTATTCGATGACACATTTTTCTTTTCCTTCTATTTGTTTGAAAATAAATGAACATTAATCCATCAAATTATCATTAATACTTAGGAGTTGGTAAGCTGTTGGTTCATTCCTTCTTTGCCAGGTCTAACTAGAATGTGTATAATTATATATTATTGCTTTAAAAAAATGGGGTATACTGTTTTACCTCTGTCTGTCCGTCCATCTGTCAATCCGTCCATCGAATATTTTTCGTTGCATCTTTCTCTGGAACTACATTAGGATTTCTGAAATTTGGTTTCAGGGTTTATATAAGTCAGCTATACCGTGTGTACGTTTTCAGATTTATCACTCAACAACTTCCTGTTTACCGTACACTTGCATATTTTTACACTATTAAAATTTTCCAGTTGCGGCGGGGGTATCATCAGTGAACAGTAGCTTGCAGTTTCACTTGTTGCAACCTGGTATTTGCTGTTTTTCTGCCTATCATTTGGTTGGTTGATTGATTGATTGTTTAATGCCTCTTTCAGAAAATTATTTGACTAGGATTGCCAGTTTTACTGCTAAAGGTCAGTGATTCTCTCAAGATGCTCCAGATTCCTCTACCAATAAAAGAATTTGATGCCATGAAAAAGCCACGGGTATGGTGTCCAGTTTTTATTGGTGGAGGAAGCCAGAGTACCCTGAGAGGACTACTAGCCTTCCACTGGAAAAATGGTAATCTGCATCAAGCAAGTCCAACTCAGCTTTAATAGCTATATATAAAGTCTGTAGATGAAACACATTGAAAGTTAACAAGTTGTTATTGTTGGCATTTGTTTTTGTATAGACCAATGGAAGTAGGTTCTTAATACTAAGTATTGAAGACTTAATCACTTTATAGGCCACTAGACTAAATAACACTTGTTAAGATAGTCGATAAGATAAATTTGTTATATAGTGTGCTAGTGACCTAATACAATATATATTAGGGGACAGTAAATTCCATATGGGGTGAGAGCGAAGCTCGAATCCCCATATGGAATTTGCTGACCCCATATATTATATCACTAGCACACTATGTAACTAATAATGGGACATATTTGCCCTGTTGTTCAGACAGAAGTATCTGTTGTTATACTACCGAACTTCGGGAACCAGTGCACTCTAATATGCAATTGAGGTACTCTTTAGTATGTTGATTTTTCAGCACAAGTCAGGATAAAGTATAGTTTAGATATAAAATGAATTGTCATGTTGAATGAACTTGAAAATCTACTAACCCCATAAGAAATATTCACTGTCAAGTGAGCTTTTCTCATCACGTGGCATCCATCAACTTTTACAAAAATTTTCTCCTCTGAAACTCCAGGACCAATTGAAACCAAACTTGGCCACAATCATCATTTAATTAAAGTTATCTACATTAAAATATTTTCTTGAAAACCATTATCTGATTAAAGAGAAAGTCTGACGGGTACAAAAATGTTAAGAATGACGAGATCTACCTATTATCTATAGACATCAAAACTGTCAAACAACTTCTTATAGGGAGTTATTGCCTTCAATTGATGAATTCCTGATGATTTTTACTAAAAAGTGGCCACAGTTGATGATACAGGTGAGCGAAACAGGCTCTTTAGAGCCTCTCATTTTATAATTCATAACAAACTTTCAACAAGGGTTCTACAGCGATAACAAGTCCTTAAGCTTTCATTTCATATCAAAAATACCCAAATATTTTACTTATTGGCAAAGTTACAGCTATGCATAGGAATTATTTTGTTTAAAATATGTACTTCTTTCTTGTTCTTTCTGACTGGGCCCGAATTACTGGTTCTATACCAATAAGGGTTTGGGGTGAAGATACTTGAAACAATATTTTTCTTTGTACATTTCTGTATATGAGACAAACAAAAAAGTAGGTTATGCAAAAACCCACAATTAACATCACCTGGTGGTAATTCATAGCCTGACAATTTCGGTACTTAATGGACCTTCTTCAGAGGCAAAATAATGATATATAGAATTCTAAGTAAAGAGTTACTGATTTTTATACGACCGCAAAAAAATTTTGAGGTCGTATATTGGTATGACGTTGGCGTCGTCGTCGTCGTCGTCGTCGTCCGGCGTCGTCGTCCGAATACACAATGGTTTTCGCACTCTAACTTTAGTTTAAGTGAATGGATCTCTATGAAATTTTACCATAAGGTTCAATACCACAATAGGAAGGTGGGGATTGATTTTAGGGGTTATGGTACCAACAGTTAAGGAATTAGGGGCCAAAAAGGGGCCGAAAATAAGCATTTTTGTAACTTCCAGACATAACTTGTGTGTTAGCATATGGATCTCTTTGACATTGTACCACAAGATTCCATATCACTAAGGGTCAATGCTGGGATTGATTTTGGGGTTAATTGCCTCAAAATTTTAGGAATAAGGGGCCAAAAGGGGGCAAAAAACAAGCATTTTTCTAGTTTCATGACAATAACTTGTGTGTAAGTGTATGGATCTTTCTGAAATTTTACTACAAGGTTCCATTTCACAAAGGGAAAGCTGGAATTGAGTGTTGTGGTAATTGCCCAAAACGTTTAGTAATAAGGGGCCTAAAAAGGGGTTTAAAATAAGCATTTTTTAGTTTCTAGACAATAACTTGTGTTCAAGTGTATGGATCTCTCTAAAATTGTATTACAAGGTACCATACCACAAAGGCAAGGCTGTTATTGAGCTTGGTTTGGGGGGAAAGGGGGGTTGGGGTGATGAATCATAAGGGGGGCGGGGTCAAAAAAGGGGTAATTTTTTTTTTTCATTTTTTTTTTGTTTAAAATTTACATTTTAAGTTAGTTATTTTTTATCACGAAGAGAAAGTAGGAATTGAGTTTTGGGGTTAATTGCTCAAACATTTATGAATAAGGGGCCAAATATTGGTCGAAAATAAGGATTTTTTTAGTTTGCAACAAAAACTTGTGTTCAAGTGTATGGATCTCTGTGAAATTGTATTGCAATGTACCATACCACAAATTGAAGGTTGTGATTGAGGTGGGGGATGATGAATCAAAAGGGGGTTGAAAAAATGTGTGGGGGGTAGGATTTTTTTTTTTCCTTTTTTTTTCTTTAAAATTTTCCATTTAAAGATGGTTGTTTCAGATTTATATATGAAAGAAAATAATAATGATACGGTTATATATCATGAGGAACTGAAATTTAAAATTATGTATATTGGAAATTTAGGTTACATTGGAAAGTAATAATTGGCTTTGGGGGGGGGGGGGGGGGTGTGGTGGTGGTTATGGCTCTAATGTTTAAGGAATAAGGGGAAAAAAGGTTAAAAAACAAGGGTTTCCATTTTAATAGACAAATAATTGAGTAAAGAACATTATTTAAAAGCAGTGTAAGGTTGGTAATTCAAACTCATTTAAATATCTCATCTACACTGCTTTTAAATTATGTAAATTGGAAATTTGCCAATAACTTTATTGTTAATAAATGCATTGGAAATTTGCCAACAAATTTAGTGTAATAAACTTCATTGGAAATTTGCCAATATAAAATTTTGCTGATGAAGGTTTTTTGTTTACCTTTAGCCTTGACTATGAAGTCATTTTCTATTTTTATAGCCTTATGATGTAGTTGAATTATTTAATACTTTTATGATGTGTTTAAATGGGGTTTTATCATGTTTATGGTTGCAAATTTATTGTTTTAGTATAATAAACTCCATTTAAAATTTGCCAATAAAAAAAATTTTTGTTTATTTTTAGCTATGATTATGATGTCATTTTCTATTTTACTTTTATGGTTGCAAAGAAATTTTTATTTTTAGATATTACTGTTAAATGATGCTGATTAAGGTTTTTGCTATGTTTAGCCATGACTATGATGTCATTTTCTATTTTAATATCTGTTATGATGTATTTAAATGGGCTTTTATGGTTACAAAGGAATTTTATTTTTAGATATTACTATAAAATGTTGCTGATGCTGATTACGGATTTTGTTTATTTTTAGCCATGACTATGATGTCATTTTCTATTTTAATACCTTTATGATGTAATTTCCATTTTTAGATATTACTGTTAAATGATGCTGATTAAGGGTTTTTTGCTATGTTTAGCCATGACTATGATGTCATTTTCTATTTTAATATCTTTATGATGTATTTAAATGGGCTTTTATGGTTACAAAGGAATTTTATTTTTAGATATTACTTTAGATGTTGCTGATTAAGGATTTTTGTTTATTTTTAGCCATGACTATGATGTCACTTTCTATTTTAATACCTTTATGATGTATTTAAATGGGCTCCCATGTATTTAGATTTTTGATTATTTATACATGTTACCAAATTGGTCCACATTGAACAAAAACGGTCCAAATTTCAACTTTATTACATTACATCAAACATTGAATTCTACATATTCTTTGATATATTGAAATTAACAAACAATTTAGTTTATGGATATTCCACCATAATAGGTAAATTAAATTTTTTCCAGTTCTTACACCACATTCATCCTGTGTCAGAAACCTATGCTGTGTCAAATATTTAATGACAATCCAAAGTCATAGCTGTATCAAGCTTGAATTTTGTGTCCATACTTGCCGCAACTGT